ATAAATATTATTATTTTTAAAATATATAATATTTAAAAAAAAATATTATAAAAGTAATAATATTAATATTTATAATTAAAAAATAATTTATTATACTTAATCTATTAAAAATAGCTTTAAAAATTATAATTAAAATACCCTTTAAAAGTTAATAATTATAAACTAATATATAAAAATTAGCTTAAACCTTTTTTTTATTTAATAATTTATTATAAAAGTTATTTTTTATAAAAGTTAATAAGGCTTTTAATAAAAAAGCTAAAATTATTATATTTTTATAAGTAAAAATTAAAGTATTAAAAGTTAAACTTTAAAAAAACATTAAGGTTAAATAAAAATTAATTAAAATAAGTCTTAATAATAACTTTATTTATATAATATATATATAAAAGGTAAAATATAAATTATATAATTATTTAATATATATTAATAAAGCTATTAATTAATATATTTTAAAATATAAAAATATTAATATAAAAAAGGTTATTAAGGTTAAAAATAATAAATTTAATTAAAAATATTAAAAAAAACATTATAAATAATATATTCATTAAGAAAATCGCTTTAAAAGTTAAGTAATTAATAGGTAGGGGGGGTGGTCGTAATAGGGGGTGGTCGTAAAGCAGGGTTTTTACTTATATAAATACCCATATACAAACATATCAACGCTCCAAGCTGCGCGTCCATTAATATGGCCCTTATATGTCCAATCTGAATAACCTCACCTCAATGAGTTGAGATCGTTTATAACTCGGCCCATATATACCACACATGCTATCAACCAACCTAAAGACCACTTCCTATGAGTTGTAACTACAGCATATCTCTATAACCTATACTCCTTTAAATTTTTATTAAATATTAGTTTATCGAGAGATATTATTCCTTATAAATCATAAAAGAGTAAACAAACTTAAGCACCATATAGAAGGAGCTCAACCAGCAAACACCATGAAAAGTTCTCGGCACAATAGTTCTTATTCATAACAGCACATTATGACAGTGCGATAGAAACAATAGGCTAATATCGTTAAAGGTAATAATAGGAGGGTTTTTATAACCAATTCTACTCATTTATATAAGCAATTAAGAACCTTCTTTTAATTTTTTAACTTTATATATATTATATTAAGCTTACTCAATTATTTTCTTAAATAACTTATACATATTCATATATAGTTAAGAGCACCACTAGTTACGTACATACATACATACAGGTATGCATTCATAGCTCCAACCAATCGCAGACCTCATATTTAACTCCCTTGATTTGATTGGCAGTAAGTTAAACCAGAGTTAACATAACATACTACAATCATCTTGCCCAGATGTCCATCTCAATAAGTGTATTTTGCACTTTATATCACACCACCTCATCCATACGTTCAAGCTGAACACACAAAGTTTGCACTTTATCGGAAAATATATCTCTTTTCATGCACATGCTCGCTTCGCTGTATTGACTTGTTCATCATACACCTCTCCCAAGTAAACGAGGATCTCGCTTTGCCTCCCTAATCTGTCTTTTTTAATCATCGCTCGTTCTCGCACATAGACATTACTTAAAACATGAAGGAAGTAAAAAGCCAAACAGAAAAAGACAAATGGTATTAGATGTTTCCCCCGCTTCTTCCACCTAATGCTGCGTCATTCCACAGTGGTGTTTTGACCACATTGATAGCAGCTTTTGCCCGTTAGCTACTCGCCCAACCCATCTTAGTACCGGTAGATAGGCTCCTTTTGCCTTGACCCTGAAGCGCCGTAGAGACTATCGTCATCACTGCTGATACGAGTTTGTGATGCCAAAGCTACATCATTAGCTTTTCCGGATGAAGAGTTCTCAACAGCGCCGTGCACTATACAACATTCTAGGTCAGCCCACTGCCACTTAAGGATATTGTGCATCACTACTTTGAAAGAAACTGCGATCTAAGAGGATGTCGATTGAAAGATGTTACTCACTTGCTTCCTTGCCTACTGCACTATCTTGCCTACCGGCATAGGAAGGTGTAGTATCAAAACCAGGGTGGAAGGGCTCAAAGGCAAGTCTTGGCTCTTGATCGAGGTAGCGGCTCGAAGATCCCTTAGCTGTGGCTGAGCTTGTCTGCTCTTCGGGATCTCGGAATGGATCCTCATCTGCCGGAGGAGTACGTGACCTTGAGGGACCGGCGGAGGAACCAGCATATGTTAAGGGTTCATACTCGCGCCCTTTGCCTTTCCCATTCGTCTCCCGGGCAGGCTGCCTCGAACCAGAGGCATGAGATATATGTATACCCAAACCGGTATCGGGGGGTGACGGCCTCCTAGAAAGCCCGAATTCCCGGTCATTCGTCGGCGTCTGCCTAGAGTCCAAGCTCACGAGGTCATGATTGTCGGATGCCAGAGATTCAACATGTTTCCGCGCGTTGAGCATAGCACGCTGATGAAGATTTAATGCGTTTTGCAGCTGCTCATTGGTATCAATAAGAGATTCCATTGTCTCATTATCAGGGGTCGGGTTTTCCGAGGCCATGTATCCCTGTATACTGCGACTCGCGCTCTTGCAACGTTCTGCGAACTCTTTGATCAAATCATTATCGAGAATTTCGCCGGGTGGCGTGTTAGTCACGACCTGCTGCAATAGCCCTGCAGATGTCCGGGCTTCTTCCAGGCGACCAGCAAGCTCGACGGGCTCTGGAAGTGAACGAACGCGGTGGTTGCGCGCAAAGTAATTTTGCGAATGGCGGTCCACTGGTGCCGCTGTCATCATGTCCATGGCCTGGGGTGGAGGCTGACGCGATTGTTGACGCAGGTAGGATTGGATAGGTGCCTGTCACAAATGATTAGAAACACATTTCCAAGCTGTTCCTCTTATCGACGCTCGGGATCTCGGCATACCGAGTATGATGACTTTTGGGCCTTCTCCTTCTCCTTTTTCCACATCTCGATCAAGGGTGTCAAGCCTTCATCGTAGAATTTGGTCGCCTCAAAAGATGTCAGTGTCTCCATGAGCATTTGTCGCACCCGCTCGTTGCGTGTGTTCTTCAACAGATCTTTGGCCGTCTTGGCGAACTCTTGGTCGAGGTTACGGGTAAACGTGGGGCCGGGGTTATCGGCAAGAATGCGGACGAGCATGAGGGCATTGTACTGGAAATCGGGCCGTGTGACATAGTCCTTCTTCAGATAGTCGCGTATGATATCGGCGCAATGTTTGGCGGCACTGGGTGATGATTCGGCGGCTTCAACAATGGATGGTAGGTAGATGACCTCGTCTTCAACGCTGTTTGGGCCGTTTGACTCGCAGAAGGATTTCTAGTTGGGGATAGTCAGGTGATGGTCGTCGCCGGGCGCCATGTGGCATATAGAAGGGGACGTTCAGATGAAAGAGAGGAAGAAGAAGAAAGCAGACGATGACACACCACACTGCGGACGGCGACGGCTTCGGGGCTGGTATCGTCTGAATTAACCGAGACATCTAATCCTACACGATGAGGCGCAAAGGCGGAGGTTAGCGAAGGACTTAAAAGGGGCGGGCATGCTTGACGGTGGCGGGTCATAACGCCCCGACGTACCGCTGGTATTCTTTCTCTTGATGGTGTTGAACACCTTGCTCATCTTAAGCGACTTCATGATGCCAGTGCCGACGAGCTAGAGATCTATTAGAGTAGGGCGGCGCACTGTTGTCTATCTGTCTAGCAGTGTATGGCAAAAGACAGGCTGGCGTGGCGCGGACCTGCGTGTTGCAGAATCTGCTAGAGAGCTTTAGCTTTTCAGCTTTTCAGCTTTCTGGTGACTCAAGTGACTCCAGTGTGTATAAGTAAGTACGTAGTAAGTAAGTAGGTAGAGCAGGGGGCGTTTGTTGTTGGCAGGAGATTGTCGCAGAAATGTTTCCAAACAGGAAGTTGTCCAGAGCTTAATAGGGTCTACGCGGATGTACCTAAGACAAGGGGGGGAGTACCTGATTTAGGTAAGGCACATATATCTACCTATCTACAGCAGGTGATATGGAGGTACTAGTCTAGGTAGGTACATCGCCGGTGCAGCAACGAGTGCCGGTACTACCTACCACGTAAGTACCGGTTGTACAAGCAAGCGTTGGAGAATACACTTAGGTGGCCGCGCTCGGTGAGGAGATACCTAATGTATCGCTTTCTTTCTATAGTACTATATAAACAGGTATATAATTGATATGGAACATAACCTAATATAATTCCATTATGATGTTGTGGTTTTGATGATTCGAGTAGAAATTTCTTACCCAGGCGATCAAGACGAATATCAAAGGCAAGGCTGTTTGTTACTGAGGATATTCCATTGGCTACATATAGGTACCCTTACCGCATGTATAGGTACTAGGTACGCTGTAGACGGGGCTAAAGGGTGACCCTGAGACCAACCGACCGACCGAGATTGGCTGCCGTTAACCGTTAAAAGTGCCCCAATATGGACATTGCCTAGGGACATAGCTGCCTATTCGAGTCCACCTGTCACTCTCTCTCTTCAGCCCGCTTCGGGGGCCGGGGGCCTAGTTAGGTACTTGCAGACTTACCATGGCTATCTACAATAATAAGATGCTTAAGAACACCTCTCATGAATACCTATATGCCCATACAGGACCTATCTAGTAGTCCAATGTCACGAGTGCGCCTATGCAAAAGAAGTTATAAGGTTGGGTAGGGGTAGATATGAAGGCGTTCGTGCGCTGTGCCACACACATGCAGCTACCTCATGGAGTTAGTGTACATAGGCCAGTCACCATCACCATCGACGCGGTGAGCAGATGCGCGCGCGTCGGTCGGTCGGTCGTCGTCGTCGTCGTCGTCGGTTGATTATCTAACCAGATAACCTCAGGTGACGTGCAAACCCCACAGCACAGGTCGTCCATATGATCCAGAACGAAGACCATAGCATACCAAGCAGGCTTCAACAGCCAACCCCATCCCGCCTCTGTCGACACAGCCTCCATGTCATACGCAATCGAGCCGCGGGGTCTCGCTCGGCGCCAAGCCACCCGGAGTCCCTTTTATCGCCGGGGGGGTCCAAAGCCGCTCGCTGCAGCGCCCGTCGATCCGGGGCTCGGGGCTATCAGACCCCCAATTCACATAGTACATATAACGTTCACACATGTTCGCCGCCCCAGGAGGCCGCCCGCAGCTGGTTTCCCGGTCTTGTTGCTGACCAAAATCAATTAAACCATTGTCCCCCAAATCTACACCTAGGCTAGCGCCACCTACCTAATTATCTCCTTACTTAAGATCCCCAGCGCCACACACCGACGCGTTCTCCTAGTGGGGCTTAGGTTGGCGAAAAGCGGGGGACTAGACTACCTAAGACAGCATCATGTATATAGTTATATACAACTCTCCGGTTAGCAAAATCTCAATCTAAATACCAAGGCTTGGTCCAGTCTTCGTCGCACTCACGCGCAATATGCTTCCTATACCTAGGTATTTCGCACTCTTCCCAGCCAAAGAACCTAACCATGCCGCCTCATAAATCCAATCTCACAAGGCAGTAAGTAAGCACCCTCCAACTCATGAACCTAGAGCGCCCAACAATCCATCCCCTTCTCTCTCCCCCCTCTTCTTTTCCCAAACAAAGCTCTCCAGAACATGCTACCTATCTGAATCTCATCTCTGTAACCTCGGTGGCACAAATCCATTCCATTTTCAGCTCACCTTACTCACCTCTCATTCAAACCTACTCATGTATAGGTATATCACCGCAACATACCACATTAAGACACTCCCGTAGGTACACATTCACACAACAACAAATTCACCATAAGCAGATAATTAGAAATGGTAATGTAATCAGATAACTACATATATTGTCCAAATGCCAGAAGTCAAAGAACCCCTAAACTCCGACGACTCCCACTCACTCTCGATACGAACGCCGTTGATTGATCAATTGGTTGACTGATTGATTGCTTGATACCATGTACTTATCCGTTTCGTCTTGTTTCCTTTCCCGTCCCATCCCACGATTTGACTTCCCCCGCCCCCGTCGAGACAAATCATGTCAAATCAGAACCAAAACCGATATCGCCTCGACTCCCTTCTCTGATTCCTCCCTTGGCTCTTTTTTGTCTGCTTGTTCTATTCCGGGGTACGAGTCTACATTTAGCACTCGCATACTACGGGGCATCTTTGGTTGAAAGGGATACCGAGTTTCGAATATCGAAGGGTGTAGAAAAGGAGATAATAAAGATGGTTTAATGATATTGTACATGTATGTGTGTATTCACGGAGACAGAATCTCGTCCTCTATTTTCTGTGGATGCAGATTCTCATGGCTTGATGGGCTCGTCCTAGTGAATGTTAAATGACACTCGCACCTTGTGAGCGAATGTGATGGGAGCGATATTGAGCGATATAATATTGCGCCGCAAATTTAGAAGACAAGAGAGTCGCGTGGCTTCCAGGTGTCCGGCCTTTCATGAAGCCTTCAGGATCGCCCTAAACAGTAACTCCGTGGCCTCATGTCGCCGTAGTAGCAGCTTGGAAAAGCTCTTTAGAGCAGAGTAGAACCTGAAGCAAAACTGATAATGAATCCAGAATGCACCGTCCGACTCCGGCATAAGGCATACTCCGGTTGAAAATAGTTTTCACATGCGTATAGTACACATTCTTGAGGACCACAGACCCCGAAAAAAAAACCAACCGAATATTGGCAACTAATACAGTTGACCATGACTCAGTCAATCAATTCTCAGGCCGCGTGTGGTGAGTTAACTAGTCGTATTCGAGGTATATCAATGGCTTTCCGTGGTGAAGGCGACACGACAGCATCACTCTTGCTGCTAGTCGCCTTGGTCGGCGTGGTCGCTTGCGGAGTATCGCCTCCGCTAGGCTTGACCATTTCAGCAGTGGCAGCGGTGATGCTAGGGCTCGTTTTACTCGCTGGTGTCTTTGTCTTCGCTTTGGGTGTGGCACGTGGAGTTTTGGCGGTCTTCTTCATTGGTGATTTAGCCTTGCCATAAGACTTAATTACAGCCTTCGATTTCGATACCTTGGTGATCTTTTTGGATGGTGACTTCTCCTTTTTGCCCAGTGCGGCCTTGGCACTCACAGAAATGCTGGACACGCTACGCTTGATCACCGCTGTTGCACCCTTCGTTGCTACCTTAAGGCTTGTAGTTCGCTTCACCCCGGTAGCTAAGGCCTTGATACCTGCTGGCGTCTTCACCTTCCGCTTCTTCGCCGTGTTGGTCTCAGTGTACTCTAGCTCACCAAGAACTTCCTTGAGCTTTCGTTTGCCTCCTTTAGCACTCTTCTTTGCCGCCTTCGCCAACTCTTCTTTGGACGGCTTCGGCGGCTTGGTTTCCTTGGGTCTGGGTCCGAGAACGCCTCGGCAGTTCGGGCTACCACAAAGACACTTCTGCACGTTCTTAGCTGAGAAGGGGTCAAAATTGTAGTCATAGGTGAGTTCCTCGCCAGTCATGATATCTCGATCACCGGCAAACAAGGCCATTCGTGGTTGCCCGGAAACAATCCATTTGACCATGTGGCAATTTGGCTGACATGAATGATTGACGAAACGAGCGATACTACCTGTCGTCGCGTCGATGATCATATTTTGGTCATATGACATCAGATAATAACACTTGTACGGTCAACCTTGATTCTATGGCTTCAATCAGGATAGGGGCACACTTACTTCATTGTCCTTATATTTCTCATTCATCCGGCGGTCACATTCCTCCTCGGTAATAATCTCACCCGTATACTCCATGATAATCTGATTCGCTTGAAAACAGCGGTTGGCACGGATGCCATAGCCTCGATCAGATGTTTTGATGACTTCTACTCCAACTCGGTACTTGCCACCGGCCTTGGTCCTCTCTTGCAGCCTCGCGAATGCGCGATTCTGGCAGAGGTGCTCCCCTACATTGCAATTGGTCGCATCACACTCATAGAGCATAATTCTGTTCTGGCACGTTTCACCGCAGCCGTCTTCAGGCGTGCACACACACTTCGATTGATAGTCTTTAAAGTGAGGTGTCTTCTTCCAGTAAGCGGCTGCATCACCCACAAATCGATCTGTCATAGAATTAATTGTTAAATGCAATCTTAAGAGACTCATCGCAGCTCCAACTCACTTTTTGTCATCTTCCTCCATTCATCCGGTTTTGGCTGTCCTGGTGGAAGCGGGTTACATAAATCAAACGGAAGCTTGAAATCCCTCCCCTCCATCAACATGCGTAGCCCAAGGAACATGGGTGCTGGTAACGTCTTGTTTGTTTTGGTGTTTTGTGTCAATTCCGGGAATTGCGTCAGCTTCTTCTTCTCCGCGGCTGTGAGGCCCTTGAAGATATCTGTCGGAGCTTCCTGGCCAGCATATAGACCACGATCCAACCACTTCTTTACGCGCCGTTTCTTGGGGGCAGGCTCTTCTATCACGTTTTCTTCCTCCATTTCCGGTACGTCATATGCAGAATCATCTTGCAACTTGATCTTCTTGGTAGGGGGCTCCTGAGGTACTGATGGATCCACATATTTACCATTGGCCCAAGTCGTATATAGAACTGGTCGCGTGTCGATTTTCGAAAACTCGTTGGTGTCTTGTAGCCTCCTCAGTTCTCGTGACATTTTTGTGACGCCCTTTTCGAATGTCTTTCTCCCCCTCTTGCCCAGGTTCGAGAGTTTATGAGCCAGTGTCTCGGTTTCAAGACCAGATGCACGTGTTGCGATCCGTTTGGAGGCGCTTGGGACCGCTTCTTCTCGTTTCTTCGACATGGCCGGCTTTGGAGACTTGTCGCCGCGCATGGCTGGAGAATGCGCATCAGACGCATGTATAGTGTCCTTGGTTGGGGTTGATTTGGGCTTGGTGATTTCAGTGCCATTATTTCCTTCTGCACTTGTGCCCACTTTGGGATCGATGCTTGATCGTCTCTTGCGGTCAGCAACTTGATCGCCTTTCGACCGTCGCTTGCCATGTGAAGAGGTCCCCGCAAGCTTGGCCAGATTATATATAGGGGCGCTAAGACGTGGCCTTCGCGAACGTTCAGACGCAGGTGTGCTAGACACGCTGTCGCCGGCGTTTGTGTGTGTGAGTTTCGGGGGTTCGGCGGATTGTGGGGGAGTAGTGAGGATCTCTGTTGTAGTAGTGATGACAATAGAGTCAGAAACCTCGGAGTGCTCGTCTACAATGGTGGTCTCGGTAACATCGTCTACGACACCAATTGGCAAAGCGATCTCGTTCTTAGGAGTGTCCGAAGCAAGACTCGCGTCGTCGGCGACGGTGGTGGGTGGTGTCGAGCTGAGCGACGCGACGTTGGAGAAAGTGTCTGCTGGAGCACCAAAGCTAGCCTCAGATGAAAGGTCGCGCGGCGGCGACAGAGTTTCAAGGGATTGCATCTTGACCGACGCGCCGGTAGGCGGCTGGAGCCAGTTATGGTGGTGGCGGCGGTGGTGGCAGTGGGCAGCGGGCAGTAGATATCGTGATATCGTGATGGGGGAAGACTGGGGACGCGTTTTGGAGTTGGTGTTGTTTTTAAGAGGTACGAGCACGAGATATGCAGGACCGGGGGCCAAGAGCGGGAGGTATTGGCCGGTGGGTGGCCAGGACAGGTGGTAAGGGTGGTATGGGTAAGTGGAGAACTCAAACCTAAGAGGTAGGATGGTGAGGAATGGGATTTGGGGTCGTTTATTACTCAGACAGCCCGGTCCTCGTTAGCAGAGCGGCTAGGTTAGGACTGCCCCCGGTTGGTCAGGCTTATTGATTCGTCTGGCTCCCCGTTCTCACCGGTTACCGTCCTTTTACTTAGGTATAGTCCCAGGTATGTAGATGTGTAGATGTGCAGACGTGTAGATGTCTTTGGTTGTTGGCTGGGCCGAGCGAGAAAGAATGTAGCTGAAGAGGAAGGATAAGAAAAAGGAGACAGGAGAAAGGGAAGAAAGCAAGATATCCCAGAAAGACAAGACTCGGAACTTGTCGGCCAATGGCGGGCCGTCTGTCCTACAAACGCGACCGTATTGAGATGAAGGGCTGATGGTAGCGTTCGTTAGAGTGAAAGTCTTGGGGAGTGAGAAGAAGACAACGGGCAAACTAACTAATCTACCACATATCCCTCCCTTGCGGGCGCGGGCCTTGACTTACGGGAAACGTCCTAAAACCCGAGCGCACGTTGCTCACTGGTTTTGGCCGTGATCAGCAAGAACTCGGTGTGGCCAATCACTTATGGCTGGACTGTGTTATGCTGTCTATTGCCTTCTTCAAATCAGAGTGAGGGTTCCAGGCGGATTCAGTGAGATGTGGCTATGTGGGGAGAGTTACAGAGAGGATGAGCTAAGCCTGGATGATCTAGGACAACCAGCTAATATCCGCGAAACGACTTCCGGAAATCACGGTGATGCTTAATTCACCGGTGGAGTTTCCTGCTGAACCAGTATCATAGTCCAGGGGAGTTGTCGGAAGGGGTCGACTCCTTTGAAGTGATTCCCGTTCTTGTCTAGCCAAGATTCCAGCTGGTAGATCCAAATCGAAAGACGTGGGTGTAACGGCACAGAGCTGTCCAATGTGAGGGGCAGGGTCTGGAGATGTTTGTGTCAAGGGGGAGACGAAATGGATGAGACTCCTTGGCCAAACTTTAAGAGTTGGGATGAGGTTGAATAATACCGTTTCTGATTCTCTAAGCCGACCTATTCGAAAGGTGTAATGTAATGGCCACTTATGTTGTGGGCCAGGGGTTCAAGTGGTCAGGGTTGAGCTAAAAACAAGTGTGAAAGAAAAGGTAGGTGTATATGCACCGGTGGTATGTGATTGCAAATGATTTACTCTGCAGTTCACTCAGGTGAGTCAAAGCGCAGCAGAGATGATTGAGGCTGGCGTTGGGAGGAGACCAGTAGATGGTCGGTATTGGTGTTGCGCAACGCCGCTGTGGGGATGAATGTAGTCGTAGAGGCGTGAGCGTATAGAATACGATAGATGACGGGCGTTTGAGACTCGGGCATAGATCGTCGAGTCCGGGCAGGAGACAAGGTGGTGAGGAAGAGAAGATGTTGTAGAAGACGATGCTGATGGCGGAATGATAGAGTTTGCAAGGTTTGCATTGATGTAGTAATGGAAGAGATGAAAAAGATGGGGACCCGGAACTAAGGGAAAATGGGCGGTCCTGGGACCGTGGATGGCTCAATTTCGGGGAAAGGCAGAAGAAGGAGGAGGGAGGGTTGGTTGGAGGGCTGAGAAGGTCGAAAGTGCCACCTCTTAAATAAGTCATTACATATATGTATACATCGATACCCGCTACAATACCCGTTGCCTACTCCTCTACTCCTCTGCTCTGCCGCGCCGTCTTCTGGTCTGTATGTCTATCTGCTCGATCGCTTTCTCACTCCGGTACGGATACGGGGTGCGTGACTACGTGAGCGACGTGCTTATCTGCTATCTCAGCTAAGTCGTCAGGGGTTGGAGGTGGTCTCGGCCTCAGAGACGTGACAAAACACCACACGGCCGCCTGTCGTGTCTCTCGGATTATTCCTTCTTACCATTCCGACGCCCCCGGCCTCCCGTCATCCACGGCTATATACGGCCAATACTATTCCTACCCTCATTCTCGCACCGGCTAGCAGTACCGCGAGATGCTCGCATCCAACAGGCTAACCCTTTGTCTGCTACTTCACCATCATCATCCCGAGATAGAGGAGTGTCCTCTCAACATGTTGGTCCAACCAACATAACTTCCGTCTTGCCTAGAGTGTGGTGCTTGGGCTAGATGCATAACTACTTATTCTCATAGTTTGAGCTAGTCGTATTACCTCCTCATTGGGCTACTGCTTGCATCGTCTCAGTCTTCTCGAGCCTGGACTCCCACGGGATATTGCCAGAGATGAGGGTAGTGTATATGATTTCATGGAGGTCTTGGCTAACTACAAGCCATGTCTCTCTTTTGAGGCGCTATGGTTCTGTTGTGGCTGCCACTACAGTAACCCAACTTTACGATAGCTGTAGTCGCAAGTCGATCTAACGAGCGTAAGCAAACATCAAACGGAAAGCTGAAGGTAATCTGCCGTTGACATGTCCACGAGTGACTGTTCGTTCCATCTGCATTGAAGCGGGGGGTGACGGATTCGGGTAACGCCCCTTCACCCATTTACGATATGCAGTTTGGTCACCTGGGCGCTATGGATGGCTCAATACAGTTATGGCTCTGCTCTGCGAGTATACCAACATTGCAATAGTGGATCCATCGCCATTTGTAGGTAGTGAACGATGAGGTTTTTGAATGCGTTGGCGGGTTATTGTCGAGTGTTGGCATGAGACCACCCCTGGCGTAGGGTGTGGTGAGGTGACTACGTACACATCATCAAAACTAAACACTGGTGCCGGGTCTCCGTCTGGCGGCAACGTACCCACCGCACGGAGCAAGGGGAACTCAGTGATATTTGGTCAAGACTGCACCGCACATCTTGGTAAACAACGTGATATCTCTCTTCAGTTTATAGAGGCGACTGGCATATGTGACTGTCATGTGAATTCCGCCGCTTAGATGCCATCCTCCGTTCTGTTTGCATCGACAACGCGCCAAGAATCATTGAGACGAGGACGACCAGTGTACATATATGCATTGCTATCCAACAGTGTGCCTACCTTCTGTTGCGATACCAGATGAACCGTCCCAAGCAAAGCCCCGTATCACGCAGAGCTGTGTATTTCTACTACAAATGTATTTTGAAGAGAAGCATCAAAGTTCCATGTCCTCAGGCCAGCGTACACACAGACTTATAGCACAGTTGCCTCTCTTCTTTTCCTTGAAACTACATCAGTATTTTAAGATGGGAAGTAGGACATCTTTCACAGAGTTATCAAGCCATGAAGATGGTCAAGGATTAGATCTAGTATGATATGATTTTATACAATGTCAACATGAACGCTATATAGTGGCCGCTATCCTCAGTAGCGACCGTAGTTCGGATTTGCCACGATGCTGACGATGGGTAAAAAGGCGAAACCCCAGATTGCATTATGTTCTTGCTCAATTTGGCCAATGTCTGAAGATACATAAAAGGATTAGTGGGGTGTTGATGTGACAGCATCGGCTAGGATATTGGAACCCTCCGTTCTGGCATTCTCGAGTCCTGAGGGAATATCTTCACGCATTCTGTGCAGCGCCTCTTCTAGGCCGATTTGGGTAAGTATGTGACGCCTCCAGCTACAAGTGGCCTTCATTGCTACTCTTTAGCCGCTGGTGGAACTAAGGATATAATCATCTGCCCCCCTAGTTAATAGATCATGGAGAGACGCGGTATCTGTCTTATAGCAGACGCGAAAACACGTATTGATGCTTCACAGCCCCGTATCCTAACGATGACTTGGAATTTCAGGCTAGCAGGATGTTAAAACCCCCTCGTCATCCTTGTCAGTGACCAGAGCATCATGCTTATGTCACAAAATGCTTTGAGCTAGATGGGCCTCTTCCGTACTCGAGTGTTTCCGTGCAGCTGGGCTATCATCAGCGTATGAAACATGTTGAAGCCAGGAAAATATGGTGCTGTATGAGGATCGAAGGACTACGTACCCCAATGGTGTGATAATGATGTCAGGCAAACAATTAATGTTATGAGGCGGGAAGCTGTCTGATCATATCCTACATATATTCGTACTGTGAATCTGATCCAAATTGAGCCCTTACTGTGCTATCGATACTCGGCTGGGCCTCGTCGACGCCTGTGACCGATACTCTCACAGTTCATATAGATCAGATTCAATGCCTTTATTTAACTTAGCAACAAAGCTACATAGAGAGTCAGAGAGATAGGCCTTTCGTAATATACAAATTCCGCAGCGATATTTGCCAAGTAAGACCATCGTTGCGTCCGATCGCGATGATCCCAACCTATATGCGAAGTACTGTAGAACGGGAGCAGTTCATTACGAGTATCACTTGATCTGATACACGATACCTTAAGTGTACCGTCACACGCCAGCTATGATGAGAGACGCTGCCACGAATCACGTAGCATGCTTTCAGGCAGAGGCTGCATGGCGATCCTAGCTACATACTACTCTATGAGTATAAAACGAGTCATTAGATATATCTTATTCGCTAAACTAAATGTAATGGAATGGGCGATATGACTAGTCTCCTCATCCGAGAGATTTTTTCCGTGATAAGGGTTGATGTTGCCATATAACCCCCCTAACGATCATGTCCCCCGCGGTCGCTTTCATCACCACGGTCCCATCTTTTTAACATAAGGTCTTAAAAGTAGGGGTGACATGTGTTACGAATTCCCTGACCGGTAAGCGAAAGGTAGAAGCGAAGGAGGAAATGTACGATGATTAGAGATAGAGATATGATGCTGATACAGAGCCTAAGGCTCAGCATCACGAATCATCTAGTGCCGCTAGGGTACATCAATCGTCATTCGAAGCAGAAATAGATGAATGAGAGTTCAATTGGCTGATGGATATTACCCGTAAGAACCAATTTGATATCCTTCGTTTGGAAAGGCATTTGTGTTTGATACTTTACTCTCTCTACTTATTAGACTAGACAGCCCGACGGATAATCAACAAGCACACTACAAGGGACAGGATGGGTGAACAACTTGGAGGCATTGGGGGTTTTCCGCCGTGTGGCACATTCATATAATAGGAGGGACGAGTAGACCAACATTACAGCGCAACGTAGCGCTATTGGTATCTTCTATTCTATGTATATGTCTATGGGCAATACGTAGTTGCCTCATCTTGTGTATTCCGTCCTGTATCATGCATCTCGTTCCGATTCGTGATGTTCCTCTTAAGAAAAGCAATCCAGGACTCCAGGAGCATCTTAGCCCCATATGCGGTCGTGAGCGTCAATCCATATCTAAGTTATTATACTACAGCGAACTTGTCCGGCAAGTCCCTATCTAATGACAGACATAGGAACCGCAGACAGCGGTTTCAGACACATACAACACTGATTGCCGATTCTGGTTTGCCATTTAGGGCCACAGGGGCTTCAATTTCAACAGGCGTCTCAGGGCCGTTATCAGAGAGGTCAGATGTGTTGGTAGGTTTGTTTTGGCCTTCCATAGCTGCGTAAAGTCGAGCAGCTCTACCTTCCTTTTTGCGGGGTTGTGGTGCTAGAAGAGACTGAGGTTAGTTTCGTACTAGTAGACTAGACCTCATCCATTGACTTACCTCGGCCATTCTCCTGAACGTAGAATCGTCGGAGCAGGGAGACTGCATCATCCCGAAGATAGCCACCTTCTACGGGGTATCCACGTTCTACATTGCCACCATCACCTTCATCATCATCACGGGGTAAAGCTACAGCCTTGCCCTTGGATATGAGACTAAGGTCTTGAGGGCCATACCCTAGCTGATAAGGGCGGTCTTTTGGGATAGGTACTGGCTTCGAATTCATATGCACACGAAAGACGCCGCCTGTTCCCCCAAACTTGTCATTCACAGCACCAAAATAGACCTTCTTAATGCCAAGTTGGCGGAGAAGGGAGGCGCACATGACACAAGGCTCGACTGTGACGTATAGTACACACTCGGAGATGATAGAACGGTCAACAATAGGCGCAGGATGAAGCTTCTGGCCATAAGGATAGATGTGGCCATCTCTAGGGTCAACATCGCCCCAGGCCGCTTCATCGAGATCCATGTTGATATCAGTCACCTTGATATCACTCGACTGTCGGCGGGAAAGTAATGCAGATAATGCCATAAACTCGGCATGCCGAGTACCGTTGCGAGTGACGTTGGTCGCGTTCATACCCCTCGCAATAACTCTTCCTTTATACACAAGTACACAGCCAACTGGTGTTTCATTGGTTCTAAGAGCCAGGTCGCCCTGTATACTCATTAGCTACATACTCATAGCGAAAAATGAAGAAACAAAGTGATAAACTCTAAGCAATGCAATTTAGGATGCATATACCTGTTCGCACAAACAATAGAAGCGGCAACACAAGATAAACGACTTACCATATCAAGAGCTGCACGCATAAATCTAAGGTGATATTCACGTTCAGCTCTCCCCTCATCGGTCGTGGGCTCGATTAATCCAGGCAAAGAGGGAGCTGACAGCGTCTGATGTTCGCCATGCGTAGTCTGAAGCTGAGGCAGAATTGGAACTGCTACAACAAGAGGGACTGGCAAAGCTGAAGCTTCAGCTGCAGATGTGGCATCATTCAAAGTTCTCTGAACGATGTGTTTGGCGGAGGGCGCATCACCTAGAGTAAGACGATCAGCGACAACATGGAGTTGGTCGGCCTCTGATAAGGATGTAGAACTTTCGTCATACACAGTATTGGTTGTATGAGCGGTGCTAGATGAATCAAAGTCTGTGTCGCTGCGGGTATCCGTTTTCCGAGCCTCTCTTGTGCTATTCATCACAGCGAGCAGCGGCAGTGCTGGAGAGCCTGATTGAACAGCACGCGATACGGAATCATCATGTTTAGGGAACACAAGGTTCTCTTTGCTGTCGTCAGCAGGCTGCTTCTGCTGTGGTATGGCTGAGCTGCGACCTCGGATCCCGTTGCTTTCTCGTTTGGATGGAGTGAAGGCAGGGCTGTTGGGGTGGATTGGAGTCAAACTCGTGTCACCTGAAGCACCTGGGTCTGACTGGGTAGAAGATGCAGTCCAGTCTTTGACTGTATCATCAGTGATTGTACCGGTAGCTGTAGCTGGAGTGACTGGGGCCACAGGATTCACGGTCGTAGCTTGGTGGAGGGAGGGCTTAACACCACCTCGTCCCCGGCCCCCGCGTTTTTTCGCCATGTCTCTTAACTCGCGATGCTGATGGTCGTGTGAAGATGAGGTGACAGTGGAATCGAGGTCCGTGTCGCTGTTCCCGCTATCGACGCCGTTGGGGGTGGTGTGATCTGGCAGGTCTTCGTCGACGATCGAGTGTGACGAGTGCTGATCATGCAGACGATGCAGGCCGAGAGGAGACACAGACGGCGCAGAAGAGGAGCCTGCTGCTATTGTCGTTGTAGGCGTTGCACTGTCTGTTGTCGCAGCATGAGATGCGACAGAAGTAGGCGAAGTGGACGTGGGTGAAGCCGAGGGTTGTGAGGGCGACAGGGATGCAATGTCCCTCTTCTCGATTGCTCGAGTGTAGAGGCGCCAGATGTGGGTGAAGATGAAGTTGAAGGGTGCAAACACTGCGGACCAGAGGTTCAAGACGTAACGCGAGAAATTGTGGCCCGCCATTGTGTTTTTCTGTTTCTGCTGAGCAGCGACTTCTTTCTCTACTGTTCACTTGTCTCGCTACTTCCCAAGCTTGGTCTGTCGCTTGCTTGCTTGCTGCTGCTGCTGCTGTCGCTCCTTCTCCTCTTTTTGACCTCAGCAACAGCGAACAATGCCAAAGTACATCGACGGCTCTTATAAGAGAATTGCACCCCTGGCCCGGTAGGTACCTATAGAGGTCACGCGATAGCGCCAAGTTTGCTTGCTTGATTGCTTGCTAATGTTGTTAGGTAGGTACCTCGGGGTGTGGGTAAGGAGGGTAGGTGTTGGAGGCAGCGCATTCGCACCCAATATACCGATGATAACGTATAAGAGATTTCATCAACCAAGTATTTTAACCAAATGTTACACTTATCAACATGAGATTGGAATAGAAGCGCCATACAAGGAGAGAACGGGGCAGGTTTCTCTACAAAAAGATTAACAACTGCGAAGAGGGGTGCGGTTAAGGAGACTCGGATATACCGAATAGAGAAGAAGTAAATTGGTCATCTGAGATAGCTGCATACCTCAATTCAGATATCAGATAAATTTAGGCCAATTTAAGTCTCTATAAGAGGTCGCAATTGAATTAATTTCGCCATATAAGTAAGCGAAGTAGGATAGGTATGTAAGCGATGAGGATTTAGACTCTGTTGAGGCTGAGATGAAGCATCTATCTCTCCAACTGTAGGTTAATTTTTATTTCTATTTTTCCTTGGTTCATGTCCCAAGAGAGAGAAGGTGGGGAGGTGGGGGAAAGGGTGACCCCAAGCCAGACTGTGGGGTGATAAGCAGATAAGCACCTTACATGTACTTAAGAGCCCTAAGAGCGCTCATACATACATACCTAGTACATGCACAGTACTTGGTGGATGTAACGATACCTACCTACAAGTACCTACGTAGGCACCAGGTATGGAAGTGGACTTGGCACATATCATCTGTACATCAGGTAATGATGGCACTGAAATAACTCTTTAACCACTATGTCTTGTCAATTTGTCATTTTAGAAATATCTATTACCTTTGCTACTAGGTAATCTCAAATTCCATAGAGTTTCATGTTGTAGTGGTCTGCGGATTTGTATCCCAAGGTGCTGAAACAGTGTACGACTAGACTAGCAGCACCACAGGAAGCGCTAACAGTACCTAGGAGGACTAACTTGCTTCCATCCTTACCAGTCGGTAGGCGTTCATGTTCTAAGGTTCTAGTAGGAAACACGTCGCGAGCCGCCATCACAATTGAGAAGTTAATATATCAGAATAGGTGATGATGGTCATTAGTCTCATTTCTCCCTCGCCTACTAGATATGTTATGTATCACCCTGAAAATTGATGGCGCCCAAGGCACTTATCAACCTTGAAAGACTCCGCCTCCAAACCGATTCTACAACACTGGTGGGTACTGTAATACTTTTATTTCAGCTCAACAACCAACAAAACAGGTAGGGACACTCATCACATCCTTTAGCGTCTCATATTACGAAATATGATACGAGGATATGTAATTGCCCCCAGCATCTAAAGGTAGGTATCCTACATATCAGCGCGGGCCATCTTTCTTCATTTCGACCCCGCGGACCTCAAAGTTGAACTGTTCGCCCCGCTCCAAATAAACGACCCTATCCCTCCACTCCTCGCCCATATTCGCCACCTCGGTCTTGAAGTCCTCCAGCGGCGACAAAAACACGCTATAGTCATCAAAGTGCACCGGCATCGTCAGGTCCGGGTTCAGCAACTTCATGAGCTCGACGCCCTGCTTCGCGTCCATCGTGACCATGAGCAGCGGCATATGCGGGCCCGGGATCGTCGTCCCGCCCAGGTGGACGATCATGAGATCGATCCGGGTGTTGTCGTTCGCGGCAGAGTGCGAGTGCGGGTGCCGTTGCCGCGCCAGTTCTTGCTGCTCCTCGATGAACTTCGGTATCTCCTTGAGTTCGTCCACGAATAACGTGTCCCCCGAGATGTAGATCCTGTATCCGGGGTCGATCAGTGAGGAATCTACCTCCGTCGCGCTGGGCCGCCACGCCATCTCGACCAGCCACCCGTTGGTAGGTGGCACGGCGCCTAGGAGGTTGTTCGCCGCCGCCAGCGGGCCAGGAGGGACGTGCTCTCCTGGCATGGCCGTAATTTTCACCACGGGGACCTCCGCATGTCCGTCTTGTTTCGGACCGTCGATATGGAGCATCAGACTCTCAAAGGTATCAATGTCTGAGATCAAACATGTCAGTCGCGGTTCTCGGATTCTCACTACCGGCCCTCTGTATAACATGGACGAAAGCTACACCCAAGTCCTAAGGTATGGATGCTTATGATCTAATGAATAGGTAAAGAATCACGCACCGTGGACAGCACGAAACGGCCCAGCCCCATCCCCACCGACCTTCGCCTCAGAGGTCAAACACCCCTTAGCATGCGGCGTACTAACAATAGTGAAATCGCGGTTCAGCTTCTCCTCCACCAGCTTATCGAAATGATCTTCATGGTAATGGCTTAACAGCACTAAGTCGATGGGCGGTAGCTCATGCAGATCGACAACGGGGTTCTTCAGCCGCTGCGCTGTGACGCCGGGCCCTAGATGGACGTGATCCCCGGCGTGCAGGAAGTTCGGGTCCGTGAGGATCCGGAGCCCCTGCCATTCGATGATGGTCGTGGCGTTGCCGATGAAGTACACGCTCGCGTCGGCGGGCTTTGCTGCGCCGGATAAGGGCGCTGGTGTGGATGTGGATGTGGATGTAGGGTGCGTGTGTATCTTGCTCGCCTTTAGATTCTGCGGCGCATCTTCCGGACTCTTCTGCTCGCGGAGGAGCGGAATGCGCCGCGACGGGTTGATATGGAGATGGCGTGTCGGACGCATTTTGCCTACCTATTACTTTATTTGAACCGTAAGGCGGTGAAATCGTAGTTTTCTCAATATATACAACCCGTACGATGTTACCACTTGACCTAATGTAGGTCAAATGGGCAGTATATAGATAGATAGATATCTTGGTACTATTGCAGGTGGTTATGATTTACAAAGAAGCCATAGTAGAATAGCTTCTAGATGATAGAAAAAACGAAATGTGCAGAGATAGAAAAACGAATTCAATCCTGTTCCAATACGTTGATTGTCACCAAATATCTAAGTAAGTACGCCTGGACTATATAGCCCTTCGTTCTCCTCAGTTGTGACGTAACCACCTCCGTCTATACGGAACACAACGAGCGGGCAGTGGAAATGATGTATTCGACCCGTCATCGCGCACGTGTCGTGCAGTTCCAGCAACGAAAAGGTAGAAGAGAACAAAACGTCGATTGAAAAGTACGGAGTCAGGCATATACTGGGAATTGTTGTAAATATCTCAGCGTAGCCTAGGATTGGGGTGTGTATGCATTCGTCATTCTGACAACTAGCGTCTCAGAGCTTAGGTGGTATATAGGTAGATAACCGTAACAAGGGCAAGTCGCAAAACATCTTCTCACTCAATTCAAAGTCTAGCAGTTTAATAAGCGAGGAGGTGAGGCTCCGTATTGATCTAATCTAAATACCTAGTGAGATAGAGCGAAGGGGTTATCTCGAGTACTAAGAAGGAACGTCGTCGTTGCATTGTGACGACTCAAACTTGACCGGAGCTCTCCTATTCCCCCCTCTCTTCTTCTCGACAACTTTTGGGCTATGCTTAGCATGACCTGGGTATCATATGTACTATATAAAAAAGAAATAGATATTGAACAGCAATGACAATGGTAATCAGACTTCGCAGAACAAGGTCACTCTCTTATACAAGAGATTTCACATGGGGTGTGAGATCTCTTGTACAAGGTGTTCGAGTTCTGTCCGTCTGTCGACTTTGAAAATATGCGCTGGGTATCAGCATCCCTTTAGGGTTGCATCGTACTATGCGCAAGATCTTGGTACAGGTAGATTTGAATTCATCGATCACGTCGATATGAGGTCGTTTCGTGTTGGGAAGAGTGTGTGAGGGAGAGAAGTTGAATGCCTTCGGTCTGGCATTCCGTGAAGAAGCCTGGTGCTGGGTCTGGCTGAAGCCAGTCATAGCACAGATCGCTAATGAACCCATCAACAGGAAGGATGCGGACCATGACAGGATATTTTGTGAAGCACATAGTAGGAGAACTGCTCTAGCAGCGGCTCCAGCAATCGTAGTCTTGTGCCATAGTGGCTGCGCAGGCCTGGTGAGGCCGTTGTGTCTCGCGTTGTTGGCACGAGCTGATACAAGCGAAACAACCACGGAGAGGAATCCGAGTCCGGCAATAACAGACATGGGTGGTAGTGTGTCAGATGGGCCCGCGAGAGCAGCCGAAGTAGAGAAGCTCCGGCTCACTCTGGTTGCGAGTTGTCCTTCGCTACCCGAATTCCATGGCACGGATGAGCTTCCTTGCTCTACAATTGGATGGAGAGCTGCACTAGAGGTTAAAGGTCGACTTGTCTGCTCATCGAGCCATGTCGCTTGTCTGTTCTCTTCGCTGGTCGATGATCTCGTGGGTCTCCGGCTTGCTGTGATCGGCAATGGTGACGGCCTCTCGTTGAGTACAGGCGCCCGATTGCGAGTGAAGTGTACATAATCCTTTGACACAGTTAGTCGAAGGCCGACGGTAGGGAGTGGACTACTTCTTACCTCGACTTGTTCGAGCGGTGCGTGAGCCGGGAGGCTTGATGCCGTGGTGGCATATAGTGAAGTCCTACTTGGAACGGCTCCGTCATAGGCTTGGTCTGCATAGGTTTGTGGGGATGATGTGTCGGCACGCGTCATAGAAACGGCCTCGTTCAGACGAAGGGGTTCCCTAACTAGGGATGCTTCCTGGACGCTCATCTGGCGCTCGGCACCACGTTCTGCAGTATTCACCTCAATTGGTGTCTGTAGTCTATCACGGCCGGACAGTAGCCTTGGTAGTCCCTGTTCAGATATTGCATTGCGCCCATAGAGGCCTTCAGATGTGCCAGTTTCAAGTATATGATAGCCAGCGGCCAATGGTTCAGAAACCCTCGTCAGTGGTGCCTCTCTTGACTGGGTGCGTGAACCAGAATTACATTCTGCATTCTGAGCATCTAGTACACCGCCACGATCAATAGCATTCACGGCTACCGCGCGGCCTGGCCAATGATTCATGTGATCAGTTACGCCATAGAAGATGCCGTCCCCAATTGCGTCAGAAATTACGTTTTGTCGATAAGAACATGTCTGGTCAAGGAAGCTTGTGTTGGCGCCAGCTTCATGCATCAAATTGCTTGACGTCTCATGACGAACGTTGGTAATCTTGTGACGGTGCCTTTCTAGCCGTTGCGATTGAATAGGTGAAGCTGCAACTTCTTTCATCAAATCTAGATCCTCATCGAGGAATGATGATTGTGGTGAGTATAGGTTGAAATCCACATAGTTGCTTCCAGCCTCGACTCCTCCCGGAATTAAGTATGGTAGAATCGGCTTGTGGTTATGGCCGTCAGTAGTAGTGTCGGTAATATTTACATCCCGGTCAATCGGAGTAATTGGTACTTGTGATGGTGAGGTAGAGGATGATGAGAATGACGCAGTAGTACCCGGCGAGAAATAGCCAGCTGGGTCAAGGAAGAAGTCGTAATTGTACGGGATTGCCTCTGTCGGTTCCTCGTCATATTGAATGAATTGATCCCATTCCATAGAGAAAGTATCTGTAGGAAGGTCAAAAGACTCAGCGGAGAATTCGAGTGACGGCAATGATGCAGTGAAGATTTGGTCAAAGTCAGCGCTAATTGAGGCTTCTTTGGCAGTTATAGGTGGGTGTGCTGCTGGTGCCGCGGGCGCCGTACGAGGAGCCTTGCTCGCTTTCTTGGTTATCTTTCCGGAAGATGTGCCAGCAGCGGGCCTCTTGTGGCTAGGGTCACATTTCGTCTTCTTTCTCCTGCACGAATCGCATGCCTTCAGCATTCTCATCAAGTGAGCATGGTCTCTCTGCTCCTTCGTCTTGCAGCCGCGCGAGGCAGAGTTCGTTACGTCCCGACCATCCTTCGTCATGATCTTCATACCCGGTAAGTTAGAGAAATCATTGGCAGCAGCCACCTTCTTAGAAGTCGAGGGAGACGTCATTCGGGAGGATGTACTGTATGGGGTGTTCCATTGGCTGTCGGACATAGCGGGAGAGCTAGTAAAGCTAGACTGGTAGTCGGAGTCCATTATGGGAGACGTGTTGGCGGAAGGAAGAGTTGGGTAAACCATGAAGAACTTGAATAGCTCGCCGGTAGCTATGGAGTGCTGGAAAAACTCCATAGAAACAGCAGTTCTCTTTTCGAGGATAGAAGCGTCTCCAGGAACGTACGCATCAATCATCTCATCGAGCTGCTTGGAACCCATGGCCGGAAAGAATTGCAGAGGGGCACCGATAGCGGGCTGATTAACGGAAAATCCCATAAGGGAGTTAACAGAGCTGTTGCGAGACATGGACGACATGGTGATTATAGGACTTGGTCAAGTGGAAAGGCCCGTTAGAATACACCTTGAGCACTACCTAGGCGTCTGTGGATGGCTCCGAAATGATGGACAGCGTATCACCTGCACCAACGAACACCAACAAGGGTGGGAAGACTTTGCTGTCGCCAACTCGAGACCTGGGGAGGGTCAGGTCCAAGTTGGATGAGTGTGTCAGATGTGGAGTCCAGTTTTTTTTGGTATAGGTATAAAGTGTATCAAGTTGACTTCAGCTGCTTGGTCTCTTAGTATATCAAGGTTACTTATTGCAGGCTGACAAAGCATACCAAAATTGGTGGTTCCAGTGGCAGTGTGTAAGTAATTGGTTAGGAATGTCAACTTCTCGGAGCTAATAGTTTATGACCGCCGGTATACGTTGGGGTGAGATGTCAGAGTGAAGACGGATGAATACGAAAAGAATGAATATCTACCACTACTACTACCTCCTAGAGACTAGAGTAGTAAGTAAGTAGGTAGTGCGTGATGTGAATAAGTGTGGTTAGGTAGGTGGGTAGGACAGTGTCAGAGCAATGTCTGGCTGCCTGGTCTCCAGAGAGCTTTCGCGAGGAGAGAGGAAGCGTGAATCTGGCCGAGATGGATGTTGGAAGAAGAGGGAAAGAGAGGGAAAGAAAGCATGCGGGCGGGAGGGAGTCACGGGCGGATATTTCAGGTCCTGACTGAGGCCGGATTCTGGTGACTTGGAGGCATTGTCAGCGATGAATCTGGGCGGAGCAGCGCGCCATCTGCAAGTGAAATTCCTGGCGGGTCCCGGCGAGACAGAAGCGGCCTAGCGCCGTCCATGCTGGTAGTGGATGCCTGGCCAATGGCGAGCCCGCGCTGGCGGCGACCCCCTGCCCGCTGGCTGGCCCCTGTGAACCCACCCGACCTGTTCGTACCTCGCTGGCGGCCGTGTTAGTGCAGCTGTCGTCTCCCCGCGGCGTGCCCGCCGGAAAGCTGCCTCGCCGCCTAACAGTCTAAGCCTCGGGGCACGAGCGCGCTGGGGCGTCGAGCTGGGTGCCGCCTCAACACTGGCTGGATCCTCGCCGGGCTGCTTGCTGCCTCAGGCACCCCTGCTTCGGCGAGCGCAAAAAGATCTGAGGATGACTCAAAATGATGACCCGCCCTGTACGTGAGAATGCGACTACGCCAATCTGTACACCACTTATACGACTCCAAGTATGATCATGGCCCCCTCCCTTGAGTGGTCGAGTCTCAGATCAAGTAAGTCGTAAGTCGTAGGTCGAGTCGAAACCCTTGGGTAACAGACAGGACGGACAGGACCTCCAGGCTCCCGCAATGTAGATATTTGTATCTATTGTTAAAGCTCGTCTTGAAAATTCCCGTACATACATACGTACATGCACTGTAAGCATTATTTATCCACTCCCTTACATAAGCTAGAGTACCTCGTGTGGGTACTCTTTCTGGAGTCGTCCCGCAAGTCTGGGGCTGGAGACGAGACCAGTAGCTACAGTACTTACATATACTTAGTATGTAGTAGATAGTAGGTGTGCAGTAGCCAATGGATATGTCTTAATTGTCACAATGGAAACCGAGGTTGATGCATGAAATTTTCATGTTGCGCGACTAGGCCTTATGCCATAAGCAATTGCTGATCAAAACGCCATCAGTTGAGAGGCCAGCACGACGACACGCAGTGTCATCATTTATACATGTTAGTCGCAATAAGAAAAGGGGTAATTAAGCGGTTGAAGCTATTACAAGTTCCCCAAACCGGTTGTTATGTTGTGGTTGATTGATATCTGAGTGAAGGAGGAAATTGAATCGATTCATCATACCATTCACAATGCATATATATGGAATACATATACCTATAACTATCCTCACTCAGGGACGATAGTCATGCCGTATCTATCGCATTCACATGAACATAATAATATAAGTCTTTATACGTAGATAGCGATAGGCCAAGGATCCAATTAAATGCCGTCTCACATTCTATATTTTATCTAGTATACACTACGCCGGGGCATCATTCCACAGAGACGGACAGCCATACTCCAGTATATCTCCAAGCTTACCCCACGACAAGCCCACGGGGCTGTCAGTTCACTTACTTACCAGTTGCGTGTAGCAGACCGGGTACCGGTAGTGGTAGGTAGATTACACGATCAGTACAACTCGGGACGTAGGGCGTAGTTGCGCAGGGCTGAGTCACGCTGCTACACATTGCTGCACAACAATATCCCGGCTACATACGAAGTAAGCACGCATGTACGTCCCTACGTCCGTCCCTATTCCTATGACTCAAGATCAATTGACGACTTGATAGATCACCCGATAGGTTCGTGCACCTCTTATCTGGCGTGCGCTGCCTTTGTCACACGTACACGCCGCTGCCCACTAGACCTGCACGGACGATACTGTAGCTCCCCCAGGGATGATAACGTCATGTTTTAGAGATGAGCGAACAAGGTTGTGTGGGTGAGTATGTGTTCCAGTATGGTAGATCAGTGCCTAGCAGCCAGCCAGCCCTACAGTGGTAGGGACATGGGTATGGTAGGTATGCATCGAAAGTCATCCTCCCACCTAAATCCCATGCTATTTTAACCACCAATGCCCTCTAACAAATTTCCAATTCCACGGTGCCGCCCATTTCAAGGCAGAGCATAACTGTACACAAACGAGCCTTTTCAATTGCCTCACACATTGACCAATCCTGTTTCCTATCCAATATATATTTATGGTCATGTCTTACCCCCAGTCCATCTAAAGTACCCAAGTTCGCGTCGTTGCCGACCATGTTCCTCTATTTATCTTCTCGCGCAAAAAAAAACCAAAAGCCAAAAGCAAGACACCAGAATAAACGTTCTTGGATGAACGCTTAGACGACGACAACTAAGGCATATAAACCATCCTAAGCCGTGTTAGCGAATGTTTGCCGCAGAAGCGCCGTCATGCTTACTCTTCTATTTGCCCTGGACTTCAGACTGTCCGCGGCAACCCATGCTGCAACGGGACCGAAGACGACGATCAACAATAGAGAAGTGCTCATAAGACTTGCAGCTGCGAGAAATAGCAATATGGCATTTCTTCGTCCAGTAAGAAGGTGTACCAGCTGAAGATAAAAGGTAACCAACGGGGCTAGCAGGGAGGGGATTAAGCGGCGGCGGCATGGCTTCAAGCCCGACGTTAAGCTTAGATTGGAACCATACAAGGCGGATCTAGTTCCCATTTTCAAGTCCAGTGGTCCAATCCCGATTCCAATACGACAGTGGGGAATGGTGTCGTCGGCATCGGATGGGGTCCGCGACCAGTTCTCCATTCCGGCGCACGTCATGCCATCCTCATCATCGCCATCAACAGACTCGCTGCTTTCATTACCGCTGGCACAATGTTCATAACACCCTGATCTGCTGGTGGAAGAGCTGTAGGGGAAGTTGGATTGACCCGTGTTACTTGAATCTCGTGTGGCCATATTCCACGATGGTTGGAGCCAAGAGCGGCTCCCAGATGCTTCCGACACTGTTAGTCTGGGTGGATTAGGTTTGGCCCGGCGTGGCAGAGCACCATAGTAGTACTTTGTCGACCGGCCAGGGTGGCAGCGCTGTTCTCCCCATCCGGGGCGTATTTCTTTACACTCGTCACATATGGACCATTCGGGTGGTTCGTACGGTTGGAAGGGATGATGCTCGGTGCTGAAGTGATCGCAAAGCTGCTCAAGGGGGCCTGTCCACGAACAAGAGCCTGCTGAAGACAGCGATTCGGTTTCTTCCGTCTTGAATTTGTAGTCGCATTGCCAGCGGTTTGGGTATAATGTTGAGGAGCCGATCGTTACAAGACCGGTTGCATCTGGCGCTAAGTAATAATATTCGTCACGGGGCGTCGACACGAATTTGCTTACCGATTCCGCTGAATCAATGTCAAGTTTAAGTGCTGGGAGAAGACTTTCATTTACGCGACTAGTCAATTCGCCCCCAGTGGGCAGATCAGGCAAGTCCGTTGAGAAGTTATATTGGGGAGTCGTCAAAGGTGGTACGCCACCACCAGTGCTAAATGTCTCAATATCACCTTCACCAAACGGCCTCGCCGACCCGCCTCGGGAGGAGGCTCTTGCCTTTTGCTCTTCAGCTGCACAGAACTTGCGATAGCCTTCCTCCAATTTCGAGAAGTCATGGCAGTTACACTGCGGTTGGTTAGAATAATCGTGTCTAAATGACATTTGATATGTTCCTAAGTCGACTGGGACTTACCGACGTCCTTTTTGCGCGATGAAACGCGCAAGTAAGCTTGAATTTTCTTTTGAAGGCAGTTTTAGTTCGCGTTTCCATGTCTAGTGGACCTTTCCTCCTGCCACGATGCGGTTTCGACCGTGTTGCTTCAGCTGCAGGGTCAGGAGAACAAGGTGCAACGCTATTGCCGCTTTGTGAGCATACCGTGCTCGGGCTAGGATGGCTGTCACTCGCTGTACTGAGTTCTGACATGGGCGGTTCGAGGTTATTTTCTTCGACATGGAGTTCGAGGCGCTGTCTATCCATTTCGCGCCTGTTTTGATTGTAAAACCGTTGGGATTCCGCAGTGGGCTCGATCATAATGGTGGACTGAGTGAGATTCTGGCCATTGCGGATAGGCCCTTTGGAGCTTGATGGCGGAGCCAATCGCCCCCCGTCAATCCTGTTTGGTGAAGACATTGTGGGAAGCAATCAGATGAGTGCCAAGTACATGACATATAGCAAGGTGCAGTGAAGTCGGGGCTTGGAGGCTGAAGCCGGACGCTTCAAAACATGCTACACAGCCTTGCTTTTCAGCAATCAGTAGGAGCTGGCTGAAAGACGTCGAATACACGTCGAGAAAGAAACACGGCTTATTAATATCTTAGATACAAGCAAAAAGATACTGCGAGCTAGGACGAAAAGTAGCGTACTGCTCGAGCGAGAGGAGAGAGGAGCGTAGCTAATGAACCATGGGGGCGAAAGCACGAGAAAGTCAGAATGCCGAGGAAAATGACTGACTGTGCCCTTACACAAATCGAGGCTGACGAGGCATCTCCTGCATGGAGACTTGCCTCGCCTAGTAGAGCGCGGGCGCACAACTATTTTGCAGCCCAGGAGCCTGCTTTATAAGGCCACCACCATTTTCCCTCTTCGAAGTATCTACGTCACTCATAATAACCAATCGTAGCGCATGTCCAGAGTCGCATGGTCACTACCTATAACTTGATCTACTGAGTAGCATAAGCAGAGAGCAGCTCCCTCGGGCGCGTGCTGCATGTCGTAAATGGCAGGCTTCCAAAGAGCGGTAGGGTAATTGCTTTGCTTGTCTTTACGCGAATCTCCGTCTACATGCTTGTTCGGCACGCTGACGAAGATGGTCGCAACTGAAATTTAGTGTCATCAAGTATTCATGTCATCAAGTCTTGCTGAGGCCTCATGCAGATGGTTTCTCACTACTCAGTCGCTTAATAGGCATGGTACTTAGTAAATGGGCCGAAAACAGCTGCGGCACCGCTGCACATGTGCGTAACTACGCGAAGGTCAACCAGCTGATTTGCGGATTGGCATTTGTTCCAAGAATGTCCCAGGGTAAACTAGTGTCATGTTTTCGGCCCCCAATCTCACCGTGGAGTCCGCGTGGAGCTACCATACGGCGCTGTGTCGTATTCCTCGGTGATCGGGAAAGCCGTGTATGCTCTAGACTCTCTTTATTCATTGGCCTACAGCGTGGAGTAATTCAATTAAGGCGAAATACCTTACTCTCATCTTGATTCACTAATTCGGTTTGTTTGCGATCGAAGACTAGCACATGGAGACGATTGACATCTAACTTGTCTGGTAGCAATTGCATCAAACGCTGATTGCGGAGCGCTTTGGAGGCCTTGGAGTGATAAGCCGAAGGCGCAAAAGCCGTAGATGAAACATTCTTTAAATTTCTTATGACGGTCGCTTGAAATCAAATAAGTCGTGGGCTTCTCTGCTCCATGGTCCTCCGTTTGCTCTAGAAAAACCAGGCAGTGGAGTTGCCATACTTTTGTCCCGAATTCGCGTTCCTTTCTTCGTCTCGGGGTTTCGACGTAGTGAGCTCTCCACTAGCTCTGCTGGTAGAGGGCATTTGGGCATTTGACCAGCAGCATCTGAAGGTTTCGCCGCCTTTTTACCGCGAGTCGCCGGGTTGCTAATTGTAGGCTTGGACTCTTTTGTAGAAGCCGTCGCGATGGATAATGAAGCCTCTTCGGTTTGCGTCGTTGGACTTGCTCTACCCGATAGTGAACGATTCTTTGAGGCCTGAGATTTACTACTTGGAGGCCTTTCGTTCGTTATCGGATCTTCGTAGAGCCTACTCTTGAATTGATTGGGCTGCTTATCAGGGTCTCCGTTTGGCGTCAAATCCAAGGAAGTTTTGTCTTGAACATGTTCATTCTGCCTGATATTCACCAATGAGTCCGAATCATCATCAAAGACAAAGCCAATTACCTCCTTGCTCTTAATGCTTTTGCGTCCCAACTTGGCCAGGCGAGGAGCAGGCCCCTCGTCAGTGGTGATATTATCTTCTCGACTCGTTGATCGTAGTGGCACACGATCTTGATCCACACTAGTTGAGGCAGTATTCTCGTTTGTAACTTGCTGCGCGAGTCTCAAGCTCTTTCTATTCGCGAGAGCACACGATTCAGTTCGGTCATCATCGCTATTCTCTGTTGTAGCTCTTAATTTAGCTCTTGACGTAAATTCTGGCTTGTGGCGGATCACACGTTGCGTTGTAAATTCCTCGTCCTCGGAAGGGCATGTGTTAGCTGCACGAGATTCTTGATAATCAACACTCTTTTCACTCGCTTTCCTCCGTCTTGGTGCGGGTTCCCGAGTCTTTTCGAGATACTCTACCGAAGTGTGTAGTGATACATTTGCAGATTTTGAATTATGCCCTCCTTTTCCATTGGAGAGTCGGGTTGTGTTCGAGTTTGACAAAGAGCTGCATATAGGGTCGCGCTCAGAGATCATTAACAAGCCTCGTTTTTTTCTAGGTTTTATTCTTAGCTCTGTTCTGGGTTCTTCAGGAAGAGGTCGTTGAGGATCATCAGCTTGATCTTCGGTCAGGTCGATCAAGTTTTTCTCTCGATGCCGATTTCCTTTAGTGCAGTCATCTCTAGGGTCCGCCCGTTTCTTGTTTCGAACCTTATCTGTTCTTTCTGCGGTTCCAGATACTAGACCGCGGGATTGGTCAGATACCAGGCCTATTTGTGCAGGATGCTCGTTAGTTGCTCTACACTCTCGCGTGATTTTGTTTGGGGATTGAGAATCCACAACGGATTGTTCCCCTGTGATTTTCTTGTCTTGGTGAAGAACTAGTCTTCGCCGCTGTTTCTGAGATGTAGGGGATGTGTTTGATTCGTCTAATGTACTCGGGTTGGTGTCTATAGTGGGCTCTGGTCTTTTCGAAATGTCCAGCCTAGCATAGTTGTCCGTACGTAACGGTGTAGTATCGGCGTGTAGAAGTGCATGCCTCGGCATAGAGCGGCTATGAGCGGCGCCTTGGCTCGATGGCCGCCCTGATAGTATCAAAGTCGCACCAAATAAGTTCTGAGCATAGCCACTCTTTCCAGGAGGAGAAGCCTCCCTTCTCTGTCTTTTGGCTGGACGGCTATCGTCGCTATGGGGTGGTGGCTGTCTCTGTCTGCGCTCTTCATAAGGCGACTTTTTTGAAAGCACTGCACGGCCATGGTGGCCGGAGGGCGTCCCAATAACGTCGTGGAGATGTTTCTGCGATATAGGTTGCTGTTTGATGCTATGTATTGATGGCACAGCAGTGACAGGAGGTCTTCGCGCCGCAGCTGCAGCTTGACGTTGAGCCCTTTCTTGAGCTCTTTTATCTATCAGATCGGATAGATCCTGGTCGCGACTTCCGACGCACTCGCCAACTTGGATGAGGACGCCGCCTCTCTCGAGCTCAAGTTCGTCGCCATCGGCGAGGTCGTAATCTTCTCGCCAGTGCATGTCGCCTACGAAGTTGCCCCGCTCATCGTAGACCATAACCCGCCGATTGAAGGTGTGGTATTTGAGACGCCCATCTTGCCAACGCTTTTGCTTCCTGCGAAGATCGTGGGTGAACAGGCAGGCATGCTCACGGACTGGCGCAGTGGTGGCTGAAGACTGAGGGTGGGCTCCTAATGTGGAGCTTTGCGTGGTCTGAACAGCCATCGTCATATTGCCGAAGCCTAGTCTTCGGTTGCGATACTTTCATAGAAGCCAGCATGCGATTCCTATTGTGTTAAGTCGTTATGAGTAGCAACCACATCATTGAGGACTGTTAGCATTGTCTGTTGTGAAGGCGGCGAATATTGGAGGACGCGTTGATGCCATGGATTGGCTCCGCCCCACTTCCACTCACGAGTTAAGTGCTCCTGACACGCGTCGTCACGTGCTTTCTACTTGCAACTTGCTACCTCTCTACCTGAGGTACATAAGTAGCAGTACATGTACAGAATGCAGTCGGGTGGGTAACTACCTAGGTAGGTACCTTATCAACTTCAATGGAGGTAGAAATCTTCGCTAAGACAAACTAAGTAACAACAGGCCTAGTGTACATACACCGGGTCTGACCTGGGCAGTTAGGTATTACCATCCTGTTGGTACAAGCCTACTCGCCAAGCCAGTGGGAATTCTTACCAGAATTGGCAGAAGACGGGGGCAATTGAATCGACCTCCCGCTGCTTAGACCCGGCTAAGAATCTACCTACCTAACCTAGGTATCTGTAGGGTGAAGTCTAATAGTGCTATTGTTTCTATATCTATGGATGTCAGCCTGACATCTGAGGGGAATACTTAACTTCTTACAGTATGCGATCAATGTCCTTCAAAAGCTTACGGTGACGTGGACAGAAGCTAGGATATTTGCTCAATGTCGAAGTTCCTTTCCCCGCCCCGCTCCACTAGGCAGCCAGCCCTACCTGCATCTGCGATCTAGAACACGAACATTATTCGAGTAGCAATTCCACCAGATCCATTCGACCTCCTGAGAGTACATGAGGTTTGGTCTTGCAATGTAAGAGTCATTCCATCTGGAAAGAACGCCAGCACAAGTTCTGCGAGTAGAAGGATTAACACCACCGTTTTGGTTTCATCTACCTACCTAGGTAGGTATCTTCTGGAGAAAAAAAATTACGACAGTGGGGTTTGAAAAGGAGACTTTGAAGCCGAGTTATGAACATAACACAGTAGGTAGCACATCAACAAGTCGGAGCAATGGATACTAACAGTACATGTGGAATGAATAGCTGTCAACCTACAGTTACAGTGAGTTAACCAGCTTGTCTGTTTTGCCATGGTGACTACAGCAGAGTTTCATGTTCGGCGCCAACTCCAAATCTAATTACATACTAATCCCTACACGTCGGTCGTCAGATGGGGCACAGCAATTCAGTAAACGAAAAGGAAGCCTACCTACCCAGGTGCCGAGTTCCAGCTCGCACCAACCTGCTACATCTACCCCATACATTGTGAGTCAGAAGGCACCTAACCTTAGGTAGTAGATCTGCGAAATTGTGGCACTGCGTCGCACACTTACGAAGTAGGTAAGTAAGTAAGTAAGTAAGTAAGTACAAGTTCAGGTAAACGTCGCATACTCGATGCGGTGTGGTGAATATAGAATGTACATATGTCGGTCAGCACATACCGTAGGTACGTAGTAGACACCGTACCTGAATGGCCTGGTGTCGTTAGCTCTTGCGCCGCGCGCCGCACGTTGCAGCGAGTAAGCCCAGGCGAGAGGTTCCCCTCTCCCCTTCCCGACCTCTAGCGAAGAAAACATACTACCTGCTACCTGTGTAGGTCGTGGGACGGCAACCCGCCTGCTCATCCATCCTGTCATGGCGCAGCGAGTTTCCCTCGTATCCTGATCCTGCTCTGGTGAATCCCATCTAAACACTCTCTTTCCCCATTTCCATTCCTTTTCGACGCTCGTCTTAATCCGAGTGAAGGCTTGTTGGGTTTCTGCCCTTCTCCATCTCAGAATACGCTTTGCGTGAGCCATCTCCCGGTCCTGTTCAAACAAGTAGAACAATCAATTTTCACTGTTGCAATCACGCTGATGTGCTATCGGCTTCTTCTTCTACTTCTCCTTCCGTAGCTGTCCTCCGCTGTGCTAATTATCCACCTCCCATCATTTCACCTAATTCGCTGTGTGATCTGTACCTATCGTACCCAGCCGTACCCAGCCACCCTTCCGGCCGTTGAGTTCCCCACACGACGACCCCGTGCTGGACTCATAAGCCACATAGTGAGACTGACCAGACAAGCTCGCCAAGGGATAATATCGCAGAAAATGCAGTCGATGCAGAGACAATTTGGTCGCATGCTCCATAGGAGCCCTGGCGACAACGCAAAAGTGGCAGTGCTGCTCTCTGATGTGAGTATTCCTCTTCGGACCTCGACAAAAAAAAAACATGCAACAGTCTGGTCTCAGCTACAAGGCACGGGCAACTCCACGTAGAGATATCAGATACTAATGCAAGACGTATCAGTATGAAGACGTCGACAGAGTCCTTGCTAAGGTGCGTTTCTCTGTCCCGCTACACAAATTATGCTGTATCATCCCCACGGTATCATTGTCCTTGATGCGACTGACTAGTTCGGACTATATAGATCATTGACGCTGCCAAATCATGGCGTGACTCGTGGATCAACCTCTGTTCAACACAATTGGGCGTCGCTACCGAATACGATGGACTCTGGGACCCCATCGTGGGTGCGTCTGACGGGCTGGGTAAACTTGCGACTCCTACACCAGAGCTCCAACTAGAGCAAGCTTTGCGCCTCAAGGAAGTATATACCGATCTCAAGGCTGATCTCCTCGATGAGTTGGAGCTTATAGAGGCCAGAATTGTGAAGCCTGCTAGTTCCGCCCGGGAGTACATTGACCCCTTGCGAAAAACCATCAAGAAAAGAGAAAATAAGAGGTTAGATTTTGAGAAAATCCAAGACAAGACTAGCAAGCTTCAAAGAAAACCAGGAAGGACACCCAAAGAGGACGCATCGCTCGCCAAGCTTGAGGCCGAACTGGCTCGAGTATCCGAGGCCTTCCACACCGCTGATGCCCACCTAAGAGAAACTCTGCCTCCAATTGTGAACGCGGCCTTTAGTATCATCCCGCTACTCATCGATTCAGTTGTAGCACTCCAAAATCGCTTCCTCGGCCTATATTATACGGCTTTACACACCTACTGCGAACAACACGGTTTTCCCTCTCCGCCGCCCCCAATGGACGAGGTAATAGCCGTTTGGTCAGCTGGATATGAACCCGTCAAAAGGGAAACCGAATCAATCACCTGCATCGCCACTGGAAAGGCGGTACGCCAGCCTATGAAACTTCCTGATGACCCCAGTTTGCAGGATCGGGGCCGGCCGACTCCCGCTTTCATGGTGAATGGTCCTCGGCGCTCGTCCTCCGGGCTCACATCAGCCGATGGGAACATTGCACCGCCGCGCATTCCATCGACGACTTCGTTATCGTCGAATTCAAGCCCGGTCCTCGCGCCAAAACCATCTCTGGGGAACAACTACGTTATATCTAACAACCTGACCCCTACTGATTTTACAACGGCGTCTCGGCTTGGACAGCAGCTGACGCCTGCCATCTCACCTAATTCAATGCGGCCGCGGAGCGACTACTTTGATAAGCGTCCGCCGTCAGCAGCGCCCACCATAACATCAACATCATCGGTGAACACAACAGCCAGCGGGGCTTCCTTGATCACCGGGAAGAAGAAGCCTCCACCGCCGCCTCCCAAGCGGATTGCATCGAAGCAACATGAAGAGTTCGTAGTGGCTCAGTATGCCTTTGACGGGCAGGGCTCGGGCGATCTCTCATTCCGCCAAGGAGACAGAATTAAGATTGTCAAGAAGACTAACACTCTCGATGACTGGTGGGTAGGAGAGCTAGGAGGTGTCGAGGGGAGTTTTCCTGCAAATTATTGCAAAGCCGGATGAAAAGAGAGAGAAAAAAACATGATCCTTTACGACTTCATTTATTACCAGAAGAACGAAAGAAGAGGGAAAAGAAAAAGTCATCGTTATACAGAAGACGCGGGCTTCTCAAGTATACGTAATCATGAAGATGTGACTCATGAGCTACCCCCCCGTAAGGTAGTAAAGAATAATTTAATTTAGTTAGTTAGTTGTATTCCTTATCAGTGGAGATTCGAACATATTCACACAATGAAGCGAGAGAAAACTTCAATGAGGACATTGATTCTAGAACAGAAACTTATGCACACCAATATTTTAGCTTAGAAGAATACGCACGTACTGAGAGCCAAATTACGTTTTCTTTTCTTTCTTTCTTTTTTTCGTTGGAGTTATTCTACAGTGCACGGCACAACACTTCACAACATGGCAGTAAGCAAATCACCCCATCTAGAGTAACGTAACGTCTGAGCGAACTACATACTGTATGTACGTAGGCGCTTTTAAGTACGTACGTACTTACCTACACACTTCAGAAACGGACTAACCTTAGGTCGGCATGATGAGTCTGGATGTCTCAATCTCCCTACTTGGACTACCCCCTCCATCTATTCCACAATGAAAAACATGAATGCCTGAATAGCTAGCCAGCTAGCCAGCCAGCCGTATCCAAGCATGTGTGCGTGCAACGCGCATCTAGTTCCTATTGCAACTAACAATGAACGTAAATCAGGAGATGAGATCAGCCCGTCTAACCCCAACTGCGCACTTCCTTGAAAACTATCCGTATCTAACACGACCAGCTACTTAGTCATATTAAAAATTAAACAAAAGCTGAATTTTCATTTCACTTATACGATATTTGGACACATGAAAGAAAGGATGGATGGATGGATGAGTGGATAAATTCCCAACAGCTAAATGACTGACTGACTAGCCTGGTACCTAACTAACTAACTAACTAACTGCCTGACTCTTCATCGGCCTCTCTATTTCGAGAACCCCAACTTCTCAAGTACTTTGAAAACGCACTAAACAGATGTAGCGAAACCAAAGGATATAACTTCGCTAAGTATGAAGCACATTATGCATTCGACGATATATTCGCCCTAGGCTGCACGCAATCGTCGTGGGAAATAAGGGTATCCTCGCTTCTCCTTAGATACTTAATTAGGTACCCATTACAAGTTCCTTTCTTTCTTTCTTTCTTTCCTTTTTTTACTAAACGCCCACGAAAATCCAAGCTTCAATATCCACCGAGAGGCGATGGACTGGGGGTATCATTGGAGAGATAAAAGGAGATGGCATCTTAAGGTGCCCGTATGCTTTGTTAGAACAAAATGCAGCGGCCGCCGACAGGGTCATTCGAATGTTTGACGTCGCACAGGGTAGAACAAGACGCCTTCAGAACCTCTGATCGTGGGCCAAGTATGATTGCTTGTTCACAGAGCAGGGAAGAGCTGCTGTCCTTATTGTCAAGCAAAATTCGTAGACTTATACTGTGCTGAGTCCTAACTCTAACACAGGTGAGGCATTGAATTCCTGTCGTGGTTGCTCCTCTTCGGACCTTATAACATGACCGAGCTCGGCTTGTGCTGTGGCTGGTCCATGTACAGACAGGTATCCGTCAGCAGAACCCTCAAGCTCCATAGGGGTGACAGGGCCCGGGCTTCCTAACGGGATTAATCGCGGTTTGCTTGGTTTCATCATGTTGTTGAATCCCATTGATCGTATGTAACTCGGCGCTGCTTCATTAGCCTTCCCACGATTCAAGGCCATCGTCGCTTGTGCAATCATATCGCGCTGATACTGCTGCAACCGGTATCTCGCTTCCGAATCGGTTCGTGCGTGGCTCGCACTAGAAGGTTGATTGATGACTGGCACTTGTGGCTCCGATTTGACAGGGGCGGCCATTGTTGGTTCTGATATTGCAGGCCGATGATTCATGCCTTTTCTTCTCTTCTCGCCCTTCCGTTTCTCGTAATTGGATGGATAGTATTTGCCCATAGGCAAAGGGTTACTCTGGTCGCCAAGCGGCATGTAGGAAGCAACAGGGGTGTTTGAGGCGGAAGCTGATCCAGCTCTTTTGATGTTGTCCAGCTTTAAATGTGGCTTTTCCATAGCTCGGTCGCCTTTTGCTGGGGGGACGTTGGTGGTGGCCGGACCGATCTCTCCTTTTCTGACAGGAGGATGACCGGGGGCTTGCTCGTTTGGGCTTTCTTCGGTTGCAAGTTGTATCGATTTCATACGAGCCTTGGTCGCGTCGATTTGGAACGGATGAGGGCGATATACACGGCTTTGGTCTTCGTGGAGAGGAAAGTAACCGCTAGGAAATGTTAGCAAAACTAGTCGCCATTTCAATCGCATTAAGTACAAGGGCGACCGACGTACCCGGGCAAGTCTCCGCGGGCAGACAAAGGTGCAGGGGGTGTATACACAGGGGCGCCGCCGCTAATTTTTTTGGGTGCCGGTAACTCAATGGCAATTGGCTGGCTTCGGGGGGGAGATGGTTTGGTGACTTCGTCGGTGTTGATGGATCGCGGGGAACAACGAGCGCCTGATTCAGTAACCAGATTCGTTAGCATGGCCATATGATTAGAATGACGCAAGGAACAAGCTCCATTGAAAGCTAACAGGGAACTGGAGGTTGGAGGCGAGACACCAGCCCTTGTTCGATGTTAGGCTGCCTGCTTGGGATGATTAGGGTAGCATGAAAAAGGGCCCGAAGGGTTTTGACGCGCCGGAGTGACAAGACCCCTCCCGCCGTCTTTGGAAGGTAGAGCATTAGCGCCTGCCTGGCCCCCCTGCAACCCCAATAGCAAGCCACTGCCGACTAAGCGCCTAGGTTAAGTAGGTCCTACAACACCTACGACAAAGGCTACTATGTTCCTATTATACTGGATAGAAAGGAAATATGCAAGTAAATAAATATACATGGCAGCTAGTGAAAGGAGACAAAAGGGGCTAGGAAATCGACTTCAAAGAGCCGTCTCTTGCCTATGAGCGTTTAGAGTACCGACTCTTCCGTCCCCGAGAGGTCTCGGACGGACATAGTAAGTAGGCAAAGAACGAGCCCCTAAAAGGCCAGCTAGCCAGCCAACTAGCTGGCTGTGGTCTTTAATGCGACCAGCACCGGTTTACAAACAAATAGGAGGCGATGGAACAAAGAAGGGCAGGGGTGGTTTTGGTGGGGAAAGGGCCCTACAACGAGACGATACGAGATGGTACGAGACGGTAACTCACCGTTGTTTCTCAAGTAGCGCTGTGGAGATCTGGGTGATTGCGGATTGTCGATCGTGAGTCCGGGCGATGGTCTTGGAGAGAAGGCAACATCTTCTGACCGAAAATCTGGAGATGGGAGAGGTGACGGGAGGGGTGACAGGTCCGACGAGTTTGACATATTGGACAAGCTCCTCGTGGGCCCTGCTGGTCGTCTCGATGCCGTGGAGAGGTAGACAGATGGCTTGAACGACCGCCCTAGGGTTGCCATCATCCAAACTAGTAAACAGTTGCTGAGCACTCTGATCCCGAACAGTTGTTGCGGCCAATACGTCGGGTAGACTGTAGACTACAAGAATGGAATGTAGCTGAGGCCGTCTCGTTCGGATGCTTGTCCTATGAAGCCTTCTCCGACGGTCCCGAGTTTGGGGCTCTTAGCTCGTTTAGGCGAAAGAAACCGAAGTTATTCAATCACCGTGTAGCTCCTTGATTCTAGTTTGGGGTCAGCAGTCAGCCCGCTCTCTTGCGCAGGAGACCAAAGAAGGAGAGGTTCGTGCTTGTCGTCAAAAAGGCAAGAGCATGTAGTCGAGAGGGACAGGGAAGCGTCTCACACATATATGGTGTTCACCACGATGGCGTTTTCAAGTGTAAAAGGTCAGGATGAGGAGTGTGTCTAAGTCAATATATTAACCCCATCCCATGTGCTGGCGGTTCGTGATCTATCTCCCATGTGATTGTTGCGAATCGCCTCCTCAACCAACATACAGTGGGAGCAACGATCGAAACCGGGGCGAGTTGGTCGACTAGTGATGAAACATTCGGGAAGCCGTTAGCGACTCAGTGCTCAAAGCGAACGATGATGTCCGCGTCCACCACCATCAGTCTGAGGCAATTTAGTCAAGATGTGCTCAAGAGGCCGATAACAACGTCTCAAGCGGCCGTGCTAGGAGCCAGGGCCGTCGCACCGCGGCTCCACCTGATGCTTCCACTTATTTGCTGCCCAAGCGCTCTTTATCTGGAGCGAGTGACGATAATCATAGCCATGCGTTATTCACGAGTGGCGTGAATGTGGAGCTAAAGGTGGCAGTGGAGGAGAGAGTTGTCAAATTGTCTGGTCTACCTGTACCTGGAGTCTGCTGGAGAGGGCTACGGGGTGTCGAGGTGTCAAGTGCTATAAATGGGGCGGCGGCTATGGAAGGCCAAGTGTGTCTTGTGCTGTTGCGTCGATGGTGTGAAGGGTGTCAGGTTACAGACAAGTCGCCCTCAGGGAAGTGATCAAGAGCGACAGGCCTGCCTAATAGCTGATTTGGCATGGATGGCCAGGGCTGGGGCAAAACGCGCGGTGTTAGGCGTGTCTCTACTACTGCGAATGGACGGATGGACGGATGTTCAAGTCGAATGGATGAATTACTGGAGACGGTGTGAGCGTTGTGTGGTGAGCAACTGGCAGAAACTGGGATGCAGCTCCTCTGGCTGTACAGAGGTGGTATATAGTTCCAGAGTACATTCACCCCATGTTCAAAGCCCTTGTGTAGATGTGTAGATACTTGGATCAGTCATGGATGGTAGGTATGTACCAACCCATCTCGCCCATCCACCCTCCTCCGTGCTATACTTGCTTCCAATTGCCGATTGCCTTGGAGTTGTGTTTACATTGTCGCTGTCATGAGCCGTTTACCTGCCTACCTACTCCACTGACAACAACGATGGGCACCTGACTTAAGCTTCTCGACAGTACCCAGTAAGCGCCATCTGTTCAGCAGCTAGTAGTTATTTCATATCAGACAGATCTAGGAGTATCTCTCGAGATAAAGTAACTTGATCTTCAAAAGCAGGACTGAGTTTCTACGAACCGTGGCGTGATTGTGTGAACATTTCAGTGAGAGATCATCGTCCAGCCTGCCTGTCTCGTTCCTAGCGCATATGATAGCAGTGAATCCCAATTGTGGCCCTCAGATACATAACACGTGATATCGATATGAGCTTTGATTCATTCAGCAGACTCGAGCTTAGGCCTAGCTAAGGTTGACTTGTACAGACTCGATAACTACTTAGAATAACCCTAATGTCATGCCTAGAGATAAGCAGTGTTGGTCATTGATGGACGCTATTACTGGGAAACATTTTCCTGCCAAGGTTATGAGACGTCATTCTAATCCCTGATACACCAAGCCTCTTGTTACTTTCATTCTCGAGTACTTTAGTTTTATTATTATGGATTCAAAACTACCAGCGTGTGATTGACCGTAGCCGTACCTTTTGCGCCCGAGAAAAGGTAGGGTTCGAACCTACGCTACAGTGGTTACAGTTACCCGGATTTAGGGTTAGGTCTACTTAAGTCTACTACCTATTGCGGGATTGTAGCAGTACTTTTAATATTCCTTTTTATAATATTAAGATGCTTTAGTTTATTATATCCTTTATCTTTTTTGTTCCAGGTTATTACTTATTTATTCTGTTTATTTTTCTTTTTCCTTTTCCTTTTTATTTTTATTTTTATTACCCTATTAATGTTTTATATTATTATACTTTTATATTTTTTTGGTTTATTAATCCAGCTTTTTATACGTTAGCTTTATTTCTTTTATATAGTTTTTTAAATTTCTTTTTATATTAATTAATTTATTATAATTTTAACTCCTTATAGTTTATTATTAAGGCTACCTTTATAATTAGTTTAATTAATAATTATTTAATTATCCTTTTAAATAGTTCTTTTTAGTTTTTAATATATAAGTAATAAAAGTTAATATATATTTAGGCGTTTATTATTATTTGCTTTATTTATTTAATTATAGCTATTATTACTATTTATTCCTTTAATATAAAGGTTAATCTTTTTAGGAGTTATTTAATTTTATATTTATATATTTATTAAATTGTTATTTAATTTAATTAGTTTTTAAATAATAATTAAAAGTGGATTATTATAATTAATTTTATAAATTCCTATATTTTAATATATAGGAACATTTTATTTATTGCTTTATATTTAATTATAGCTTTATCCGTTTAATATTCCTTTATAAGGTTATTATATATAATTTCTTCTTATTTATTTAAGGTTTTTATATATAATTCCTTACATTTTAGGTTTATATATTTATTATTATATAGGTCCTTTTATTTTTATATTAAGTATTTCTATATATAATTATTTATATTTATTTAAAAAGCTTATTCTTTTACTATTTTAATTTTTAGGATTAATTTTAAAGGGATTTTTAATATTTTACCTTTTTATATATCCTTCCGTTTATTATTAATAGGTTTATTATTAATTAGGTTATTTATTTTTATTAAATTATTTATTTCTTTATTATTTATTATAATTAGGTTTTTATTATTTTTTTTCCTTTATTTTTATTTTTATTATTTAAAGTGTTTTTATTTATATTTATATTATAGTTTTCCTTTTTGCTTAACTATTTATTACGGGCTTAATTATTTTTAAAGGGGCTAAGCATATAGGTAGGTTTATATTCTTTATATAGTAGGGGTGGGAAGTTTGGTAGTAGAAATTTAAGGGTTGTATTATCCATTTTATTTTTAAGGGTTTTAGGGCCTTTAATCCCAGGTAATATGTATGTGGTAGTAGTTAAGGGAAGAAAGAATGGGCTATTTTATAGTAATGTTAAATAATTAAAGGGGAGGTATTTTATTATAATGGTTACTTTTAGTTTTATATTATTATTTTAAAGCTAACGCATCTCCCACTTGACCTGGCCACCCAATTGACCTGGCCGCCCCCCTAGCCCATACAAATAACGTCGGTGCGCTAATCACGTGATAATTTAATAACTCTACAAATACTAATTGTATAAAATAATAAAATATACCATTAGATTCGTAATAAAAAGAGCTATTTAACGGTACCCTTCACTAATTCTTACGACTTATACTCGCGGAGTTATTAAGCAATACGCTAAAGTAAGCGTTAAATTAATCCCTGCTTAATACCCCTTTAGCGTATTGTTTAATATCTCGCTTAATAAATTTTGTAAAAAATAGTAAAAAATACCTCTGGATTCCCCTTTAAATAACGGATTCAAGGGTATTAATTATTAAATCGTACGACCAGTATTCGTAAAGTTATTATAGATTAAAATAATAGGATTTTATACAGGTTAAGGGGGTGGCCAGCTCAATTGGGTGGCCAGGTCAAGTGGGAGATGCGTTAGCTTTATTACTTTTT